TTGGGAGCTTAACCAATAAGCTATGGGACCCAAAACCATTTTAACTTTTTATTATTATTATACAGTACTTAATTATACTTATATTCTTTGTATCTCTTACCTTTTATTACTATATAACTTTTAAATTAGTAATTTTCAGATTATAGATTCTTATAATCTCCTAGTTTAATATATCTATTATTAGTTTTTTAAAGTATTTTAATATATTCAAAATCTATAGAAAAATCTATATCTTAAGCCAAAAATTATTGTCTAGTTAGATTTTTATATAATAAAATTAATATTATATTATTAGATAAACTTTTTTACTTATCAAGCTATATACTACTAATCTATATTTTAAGCTAGCTTCTGCTATTACAATATATATCCCAAAACTTTACTAGTATAAACAAACTGGTTTAAACTACATACTATTTAAATTTGATAAAAATTAACTAAGATGTTAAAAAGATTTATCAGAAGTATTTTTTATTTACTATATAAAAATCTAATATACTATACAGATCTTATAAAAAATAATCTATATATACCCTACCCTTAAAATATATATTTTATTAAAAGATAAATTTGTCATTAAATGCTGTTTTAAAATTTTTATACTTAGCTAGATGACCTTGGTACAATTTGGCTTTATTTTGTTAAAAGCAACCAGGTTTTGATGCTACTACTTGAATTCTACCATTTTTAAGTATACAAAACTTACACACTGCCTTTGCATTTGTTTTATTAGTTGGATTGTCAACTAATGTGAAAAATTCTCGAAAATTATGTGGTTTAGGCATATTTGTTAATGAAAGTATAATAAAACTTAATTATAATATTTATATATTTTTTCTAATTAAATATTATTAAAGTTGAGTCTTGTATATTAAATATATTAAATTCAAATCTTTATAAATTTTTTTTTTTTTTTTTTTTTAAGGTGACCTCTTGATCGATTTTCTTTTATTCAGTTATTAGTCAAGTTTTACCGTACGCTAAGCCCCTTACGATGCCTGTACAGTATACATATTTTGGAGAG